TAGTAGATTTTTCAATATAATTTTTATTTAGTAAATTAATTTAAATTTTATACTGAAATTTCTAATAACAATTATTTTATTCAAAACAATTTATATCGTGAAATTGTTGATTTTATAATTATTTATCTTTGTTCTGTTATTATAATTGAATGACATAACAGTTTTTGTATGTAAATATTTTATGAAATTCTGTAATTTTTGTAAAAAAAAAATATTATTTTTATTAAAAATATTCTCTCAGAATTTATCATTGCATTATGAGTTATATTTAATAGTTAAGGTTTGTAGATTAATATAAAGTAAAGACAACATTTATAGCATTCTGAATAATGAAAGGTGACTGCTAAAAAGGTATCTCAAATCTAAGATCTTAAGAATAAGTTTAGACTTAAATTAAGTTAAGAATTTTTGACCTTTTCAATTTTTTAATGTTTATTTATTTTACTCAATAAGTTTGATTACATAGAACAAATCTTCCATCAAATATTTTTTCACTCTCCAATTTTTACTACAAAAATGTTTCTATATTTGTCCCATATTTATTTAAAAGTGCTATTAAATACATAACTTAACAAAATACACATTCATCTATCTACTTTTATTAATTTACTGAATGATTAATTTCGACATACAACTTCTCACTGTAATATAAATAAATTTCATAAAAATTCCACAAATATTTTGAGAAAACAAAAGTTATTTTTAATGTTTCTCTATTAATACATATCTGTACTATTCGCAAATATTCTAATAATATAGTATTTTTATATAATTAATAAGAAAGAATTTCACAAATTCAATATGACAAAATTTGGTTTTTGTTTAGTAAATTTTTAAATAAAATTAATTACTGAAAATTTGTAAAATATTTTCTGTTTCTACACGTAAATATAAAAGTTATTAGTTATGTTATGCAATTGCACGTCTCAAATTATAATAATTCATGATAAATCGTAATATTAGCAAATATTCTAATAATAGTTACATAATTTTTATTTTATATAATGAATACAAAAAAATTGTAACAATGATATATATCCAATATAAAACTGTAAAATAGCTATAAAAAAAATAATTAAATTAATTTATACTAAAAATCTTTTAATTTTAAGTATAGGAATCAACAAAAAATACTATATATCTAAAAATAAAATACACTTAGTGAAGTAAATTAGCGGATGGAAATATATTAATCGTGAATGGGGTTTCTTTCCTTTACGTGACTCGGTCTTATTATTAGATTTAGCTGCGTCATTCGTAAAAACATTTGTGCACAAAACTCTTATTTCTCTCTCTTTCAACTGAAGTAATTTCAAGGCAGAATCTGACAAAAAATAATGTTTCTTTCTTTAGTTACCAGAGAAGATTTATATACGATATTTGTGTCTTTATTTCGTTTTAGCTTTAGTAAATATTTTCATACGTTTACTTAAACAACGTTTTGCTATTGAAAAACATGTCTCAACTTAAATGTCATAATTTGAAATCAATATTTTTAAATAAACTAATTTTATATGAATTTTGGTGTAGAAAGAAAATAATGTTTTTACAAATTATTCAGAAATTATTAAAAATTTCCAATAATTCATACATGTAATTAATTTAATAAAAATCCTATAATACATTAGTTTTATAGACAAAACAAATGCATCAAAAACTATATTTTTGTAATTATCTCTTCGAAATAATTTCAAGCTTTAGTATTTATAGTTTTATATGTCTTAAAGTTCCTTCCGTAAATTGATATTTAGAAACTTTGTGTGTATAATAAATTTAATGTCTCATAGAATATAAATACTTCCCAAGTTCCGCGTTATCTTTTATGTTCGTTTATAAGTTTGTAAATATTAGCATGTTAAGTTTTATATTCCTTGCTTATTTTGTTATTATATACTTGTCTAATCTATATGGATTAGCTTAGAAAAGATGAATTTTTATATTAAATTAATAAATTTAAAAATGGAATGTTTTAGTTCTAATTGATCCTTTTTATATATACACTTAGAAAATGATCATTCTTGGTATTTTTCTATTTCACATTTTCACGAGAAAGAAATAAATAAAATCCCGGGAAAAATTTAAAAAAAAAATAAATTTAACTAAGAAATATTTACTTCAAAAACTTATATTTTATTGATGATGAAGTACAGAAATTTCGGAAAAATCTCGGAAAATTCATTGAAAAGTGAACTAATGAGAACCAAACAATTAATTTAATTTTAGTTTGGAAAGAATAAATGGAATAGATTTCTATTATAATATAACAACATATAGTGAAACCTTACATAATGAGCATTTCGCTTAACGAGCAAAATTAATTGTAAGAAAAATGAGAAGATAAATCCCGGATTGTGTGCCTGCTACATCATTTTCTACAATTGTTTCACTATACGAGTACTTCACTACACGAGTAAAAATCCGGAAATATTGGAACGGTTTTATGTGGTAATAAAAGTAAATTATTTTCATTTCAGTTTAATGTTTCGTTAAAAGTTACACAACCAAATAACAGTCTGTTATTAGATAACTTTATGAACTTGTTTAGGTTTGGAATAATGTGCTGCAATGGACAAAAATAAAAGTGCGAAAGCTGTGTAAAGCAGTGATAGCAGATTCCAGGCATTGTTTTATATTATTATAACACCGACACGAATAGTACTAATTTTTTTTATTCTCAACCCCACATAAATTTCGATTGAGAGCGAAAACAAATCGGAATTTAATTTTCGATGCATTTAAATATTTGCACGGGCCGAATTTTCTGTTTTCTCTCTCTCTCTTTCCATTATTATCCATAGGGCATAGTGCCATCATCATCCAACCCTTCGCCCCGCGGCCGAACAATTGGATTATTATGGAGAGCCAAAGCCGGTTTTGATCATTAAATATAGTAATGTGCGGATTTCCGGTTTTAATGGGCATAATCCGCAGTTTCAATAACAGTTAAAGCGGACCGGGATTTTCAATCGCATGCGACTCGTATAATCAGGCGTGCATTCGCGCATAATCCTGCAAGGATTTATCCGTGCGTTGCTTTTCCGTGCAGAAAAGTTTAAACGGAACTTTCTCTTAACAAGAACAAAACAGAGACTATTACAATTTTATGAGTATAAGAGAAAAATAAATACACTTGAATTTATTGATGCTCTGCAATGCAGTCAAAAAATAAGAAAACCATATTGACTAGAATTGTAAAAAAAAAAAGTTTGTAAAACGTTTTAACATACAATAATCAAATTTCTTTTAAAACTGGCAGCTTTTTTTCTTGGGTTATAATTATATAAATGTTTTAATAAACATTATAATAAATTACAAAATTGATTAGTTCTTTCGACTATCGACCAAAATATTTCTTCCTATTTATATAATTATTTACGTTTTGACTTGAAATGTCTCCAAACTCAGAAATATTAAAATAAATGTAAAAAATAATATCAAATTGAAAAACACTTAAAACAGTTTTTTTTTCAATATTTCATGTTGTGAATTAATATTTCAAACAATTTTGTATCTAACAATAGAAATAGTTTCATTATTTAAGATTATTTAATAATTAATTATAATTTTTAATTTGTTATGTATGTTTTATTCAATAATAAACATTATTCTAAATTTTACGTTTTTTTTTAATCATTTTCTATACAAAATTACAAAGAAATAACTAAAAATCTTTATAAAATAATACAGTATTTTTATTGTATATCCATGGTTACTTGTAAATACGAGATGCTAATAAAATGTAATTCAATAATAAGTCTTCAATTTCAATACATTAAAAAAAATAAAATCTATAAATTTTACAGTATTTAGGTAAATATTAAAGCTTCTATTAAATAGATTAAATTTCAAAGCTTTTCAAACAAATTAATTTATTATTAGAAATTATCAAAAGGTAATAAGTACTAAATGTATTTTAAAATAATATAACTTTTGTAATATATTAATTATTGTTCAAATGAGTTAGTTGATGGACAAATTGTATTTTTTTAAACGCATGGTGTATAATCAAGTATTCATAATCTTGTACGGATTTCTCCGCGAATTGCGTTACGATGCAGAAAAGTTTTCTCCCGAAAAAAAAAGAATCGTAAGAATTGTTCTCTTTCTCTCTCTTTCGGGGGTTCGTAGAGATAAAGGAACGAAACAGAGGCGATTGCAATTTGGGGTGGCCGGAGAAGGGAAATACATCTTGAATTTATTGATGCTCTGCAATGCAGTCAAACTGCAGTTTGATATAAATCAGATGCTCTGTGTGTGTGCTGGTTTCAGGTTGTTCTCTCATTCTTCTTTTATATTTTTTTTATAAATCTTCGTCTTTCCGTTTTCTTTACTATTTATACTTTTTATTTGTTTGACGATGCGATGAACTGAGGAATAGTGGTTGCTTCCGCGACGATCGGAAAGAGTGATTTTTTTTTTGGCGGGAAACGAGCTGGGTGTGTTGGAGGGGCATTCACGGGAATTTTGGCGTGCGTCGGGGATTTCCCCGTTATTGGAGCCAAGGTTTCTTTATTGGAGTAACACTCTCTGGGATGCCAATGTGCGTGTCCATTGACGGCTCCAGTTGGCACAGGGATGACCAACTTGAGCCAACTGGGGTGCACTTCAATGTTTACATACGTGCAAGCAGTCGTCTCGAAGCTCGGCTCCTCAGTTTGCTGCGAACGAGCTTCAAGCCAAGGTATACCTTATTTACTCTCTCAACGACTCTCTACCCTTCGACTGATCTTCTCTTTGGTAATCTAGCGTAGGTTGCACGGTGAACAAACGAGTGAAGAATAAGAAGAAGATGAAAAAAAGGAGGACACGCATTAAAGAAGCCGGGGGACTTCATAGAATGGAGCGTTTAATTAGTGAACTTTATTTTTAGGATGTTCTTATTAATAGACGTTCGCGCGGCGCGTCGGAGAAATAACTCTCGCAATGGAGCTCTGTTTCCGGAAAGGTACTATTGAATATATACAAAAAGTGCAACAACGTAAAATTGGTGTGGGACTTACTCAAATCGAATTATGTGAGGTGGTCGGTCTGCATGCCTCTTCGGGTCTTAGGAGGCGCGCCTTCGTATCCTAAGCTCTCCATAACAGGTGGAAGTAAAGGGAAGAACTCTTGTCTCTCTTCTTCTGTGCGGTGATGGTGTTTATGTGTGTTTAAGTACTTCGGCTAACGCATGGTTCGCATATTTTTCGTTGTTGTTGTTGTTGTTGTTTATCTTTCAGTTCGAAAGTTTGTTGTTGTGGTGATCATCATGTGCGATCATCATTGGGGGATGCTGAGAGCACTCGGAGCTCGGGAGCTCCGCGTGCGGACTGAGGCTGCACCGACGCCTGGCCAGACTCCAAACGCGCGGCCCCTCGGCGTCCCGACGCCCCCTTCGGATCCCCCCACCGACCCCCCTCGCAATGCGCGATGCAGTCACACACACACATACAGACACTCGTGTGCACATGCAGAAACACGCATAAGCCACATCCACGAGACAATATGCATAAGTGTTTATGTGGAAAAGCTTGTGTAAAGCCAGTGTGTAGGAGGAAGAGGGATGGGACGAGAAGGCGGAGGTGGAGTTGCAGGAGACAGCGTGCAAAGAAAAATATGGATACGGAATTCTAATTGCGAAGGATTAAAATTATGGAAGATGCGGGGGTTTGGTTGTTGTGCGTTTCTACTTTGAACTGGGAATTAGTTTCCATCCGGTTATACAATAACATAATTCATTTACTAAGAACTTTTATTCTTCATTGAGTACATAGACTTCATTTGAAGTTAAGGATTAATGAAGAATAGACGCAGAATAAATGTTTATGTTCGCGTGTAAAAAAATCTTACTAATACACTTTAGTTGAAGCTTGTATAAACTACAAAAATAAGCATGTGTATCAATCATTTATTTATATATTAATGTACTTGACTTAATAATTATTATAATTATTATAATTATTCTTCTTTTTCCTCAGTTTCTGGGGGTATAATATTAAAAATTAGGCTTTATTTAAAGCTTGAAAGATATATAGATATAACATTAATATCATATTATATAAAATCAAGAAACAAGATTCGTTTAAAGTTAAGGATTGATAGAGAATATTTCCTCATACATTAATAATTACGTTGAATTCTTAATTATTAGGATTCTTTGATAGTATGGTAGAAATTGAAAACTAATGCATCATACATACTTAGATTTATTAACTTATTACAACAATAATCCAGCGAATACATATAACTTTTAACAAGCATAGTGCTTAACTCTTAGTTAACTTAATATATCAAATATTCTTGATGAAGTACAAATAATGCTTGTGAGAAGTAAATAAATATGTGATTCATTCTAAAACAATTATTTTGGATCAAGTAAATAGAAATTTTGAACGAATATGATTCATTGGAAATTTGGATAAATGTATCATCAAATTGATTTGACTTTTAAAACAGCTTTAGACTACTATTAATCTCTTAGAAATCACTATCAATTAAGGGAAAAAAAGTTTGTATTATATTTTCGTAAGTTTTTATTTCACACTTCTAATTGAAAATTTCCGTTTCTGAATTAGATACATTTAATCATCTTTTTTATTAAGTTTATCCCTAAAACCAAACTTTTCTGTTTGTTTTCATAAAATATCTAAAACTAATTCTGTACACTTTATTTTTAATGAAAATAATGGATTTTTTTCTCTCACTAATACACAAAACTTACTTTTGTATTTGAGAACACAATCTCAATTTTATAAATTAATTTAATTTGAAATTTAACTGCAAACAACATACTAATAAGAAAGACGTAAATTGTAGTAGACTTTAGAAAAAAATGTCTGTATATATATTTTTTCTCATACCGATCAATCTGCAATTTCAACATTGTTCGTTTTGCATCCACGATGCGGCTGATACTGATATACCTATTACGGATTTACCGAACTGATTGACTTCCCTAAAAACGATGGATCAATCAGGGGATTTGCAAATGGAACAGATTTGTAATTCGATTCTCTACCGCAAACAATGATGTTCTAGGTGTTTTGTATTGCATCATCATCGAATCCCATTTATTAGATAGACTACGAATATTTGCAATACTCAAATTGTTTTCTATTATTTAGGAGGTGTTACTTAACTTAAAGTAGTTAATAATCTATTAAGAATTTGTAAATCTGAACTAAATTGTAAAAATTTGATCATCATTAAGTATTAATGCAAATATTTCACCCAATTTGGAAACATTGATGACCCATTCGTGCATTATCAGTAAGAAGGCAATATTACGTGACAATTTACAAGTAATTTGTACTTCGCTACGTGTGATTTTTACAAGTATTGTCAAAATATTAATTTGAAAGTTGTTTGAAAGTTCCAAGTATCAAGTTTTCAGTAGATATATTAACATTTACAATTTAAATGATAAATCTAATTATATTTGTGCTACGCATGGAAAAGTTTGAAGAAAATGTTTTTTTTTTTATAAAAAAAATTGAGAAAGAAAGGATAATAAAGAGCGACGATGCGAATGGGTCGGAAGGACGTAGTAAATCATAAAACTTGCGCTAATAAATATCAATTAAAAAGTTTAATAATTATTTTCAGGACTATTTCTATTATCGAGTGCGTTTCTCTTATAAATTTTTCGTAATTCATCCGGTCACACTCACAAGGATTTATGGATATATATATATATTTCCGAAATGCGATTGGAAAATTGGTAATTTCGTTCTTCGAGGAGAGATAAATGATGGGTGCCGCTCGGTGCGTTGTGAAATTGAAATTTATGGCGGTTTCACAGAAGTCTTCTGCATGAATAATAATGATGATTAACACGCGTCGTCCTGGTCAAGGATAATCCTTTATTTTTGGCCCGCAGCCGAAGTCCTTCGCTCCGATTTGTGAAGAACGTACAGAGGACGTCATCCTTCGAACCGGGCGGCAGTTACAGTTAATAATCCCGCTCATCCTTCCCATCACAACGATATTTATTACAAAACGGAACATTGCTCTCGTATCGGAATTTATTCGCATTCTCAGAATGTATGCATGCATGTATGTAGTAGCCTAGCATGCAGTGCATGTGTCGTTTGTTCGCTTCTCTCCTCCTTGTTGTTGCTGTGTGCGAATCGTATGCAAATTGTTATATAAATAATTCAAGTTGCGCAGTAAAAGAGAAAGAATGCTCGGAAATCGGACTGAGGAGGCGGCGGCAGCAAGGCAGAACAGAGAAGAAAACATAAATATGAAACAATACCAAAAAAAAAAAATGAAAGAATTATGGATTGATGAGGAATGGAAGAAAGAAACTATTTCGTCTGGGAATAAAAATAAATAATTATAGAGTGGTCGGAAAATTTTACAAGTATATAATATGCATATGCCGTGTTGTATTTATTTACAGTTGGCTTCTATTATTTTTACTCTCTTCTAAAAATACATCACCAAGTGTAATTTTTACTCATCGGCGAGCTGCGAGATGGTCGGAGGCGGCGGATGTCGCAAGAATTATGTCCTGCGACCAGACGACAAATACAACAAACCGTGCGCGCTGTCCCCGGGAACCGCTGGAGAGCTTCGCGAAAAACGGCGTCAAACATTCGGAAAATTTCGTTTCCTCTAGCTTCTCCAAAATTTATGGACCTCTCGGGGCTCTCTGCTCCAGCTGAAAAACAGAAGAAATAAAACAATAATAAAAAGGGTGCTGCGAGAACGTAAGAAGTCGGTGGTGGAAATTGATGAAGTTAATGTAGGATATTAATAAGAAACGAAAAGAGATTTTGAAGTTTTCAAAGGGCGATACAAAATGTATTTTGTTTAAATAATTAGTTTGTGAAATTGGTTTGTAATTTTCAAAAAGAGAAATAACTTAGAGATAAAAAGGAAAAGACGATACAAAATTTATTTTGTTTCAATAATTAGTTTGTGAAATTAGTTTGTTATTTGTAAAAAGAGAAAGAACTCACAAAGATAAAATGGAATATTTAGATCCAAATAAATCTCTTTTTTCATTAATACAAACAAAAAATGAAGAAGGTATATAGGTCGAGGTTGTCCCACATTTGCAGTTTTAACAGTTGATTCTACCTACTGGTGTCACAGAGACGCCGCGCGAGTAACTGTTGATTAATATGTTACCATTAACAAAATTCAATATATACAATTTTTATTGTTTATTTTCTTTAATATTTTCATAAAATTGTGTAGAAAGTATCAATTTACTGTTACAATACAATGTTACTATTTAGAAATGTAATATTTATAATCTATATGTAAGTTGTTATAAACTTTTGTAATACAAATGTTGAGATTTTCATCCATTGGATAATAGAAATTTCTTAACTAATTCATTTAATACGAATGTTGAAAATATGTTCATTTTCTATTTCTTATAATTGTTTATTTCATTACGAAAAAGTTGTCTATTTAACTTGAAAAAAAATGCCTTGGGTTATTGGCCGCAGTTTTTTCTTGCTAAAATATGATTTATATTTCTAATTTAGAAACACTTAAAAATAATGAAATAATACTTCAGACGACTGCGAGGAAATTTGCAGAAAACTAAGGGGATTGTAAATATATATAATGGACTTGAAACAAAACAGAAAAAACAGATCATGTTTGCTTTTCATTTTGCGATTTGTTTCGCTCGAGGGGTGGAATTTATTAAAGGTTCCTTTTTTGTTGTTGTTTTGAGGGAGATGGCAAAAAAAAAGAGGAGAATATGTTGTGTATGTGGAAAATACGATCTGTAATCGCGATATAAGCAAAGCGCGGAGAGGCAAAACGCATCGACCACTGCAGCACAACGTCGGTGGGGCTTCGCCGCCCCCACACGAAACGAGCCGCCTCCACCGCCGCCGCCGAAAATTCCCCAACAACCACTCCTCCTCCTCCTCCCTTTCATCCTCTTCCACCCCCCCGCACCGCGCTTAGCCGGAAAAACAATTCGGGCCGACCCTGACGCGCCAGTCTGTTGTCTGCTCCATAAATGGTAATACTGCTCTATTTTATATCCAAATATAACATTACAATTGATACAAGTTCTTTCATACAGAACATATTAAGGATTTTCTATGATGCCATAAGGGATGAGATATGATGTCGTGTATGGAGTGGAAGCGGCGGGCGAAGACGGCTCTCTCATCCTCTCCCTCACCCTTCGGAATGCAAATCAATAGAGTGGTGAAACAGCGAGATTTAAATCAAGCGAATTTATTGCTCTTTCCATTACTGCGAGAAAAAGGAACTAGAAGAAATAAGACACAAAAAAAAAAGATGTATGGATGAGGAGAGGATAACAAGAGGCGGATAAAATGAAATGAGATGAGGAGGATGAGGATCTTCCGGACGATACAGATAAATAAGAAAAATGCCGGCTCTCCCCACTTTTCGGACATTATCCCAGTCGTGTAAAGGCCGATATTAGGCAGATGGCGATTTAGTTTATTTGCCAGTTTATTGGCAAACACGGCATTTTGGCCGGGCTGGTAATTACCGCGATACAGGCTCTAATGTTACTGTAAAGATAACAGCCCCACGGTAATTACTGACACACACTACAACCGGGCCGTTATTTAAATAAAAACTCCTCCTGCGCCACTACACTACGACTACAAACTAACACAGCGACCACTAAAACTGTAGTACGAGCGGCTGTAAAAACGTACG